CTTCTTCTTCTTCTTCTTCTTCTTCTTCTTCTTCTTCTTCTTCTTCTAGATCTATTTGTTTTCTAATGAGAGAGGGAATGAAATGGTGTGGATTTTTGTGGGTGGGGAAATGCAGAAAGTCTAGGGGAGATGCAGGAGACTGTAGTCGGAACAATTGTATGAAAATAAATCTAGTTCAATAAATTAATAAAGACAATAAAAATAATGTTAATCATTACCTGCTTGAGATGTAGCTCAGTTGATGAAGTGCTTGCCCAAGGTGTGGAAAGCCCTAGATTTCATGCCTAGTACCCCTAATCTGTGTGTGCTAGCACATATCTGTGGTCTCACACTCAGCAGGTGTAGTCAGAAGAATCAAGCGTTCAAGGTCATCTTTGATGATATAGTTAGTCCTATGCCAGCCTAGCCTAAGAGCTTTGAATCCTTGTATCGAAACACCAAACAAACAAACAAAAAGCAAAACTTTATTACTCTTTTAACCTACCAGATATGCCTATGGAACTATCTGTTTTTCCTTTTCCTCAGGGCAGAATCCACAAATACAGACATCCAACTGGCCCAGGAAATGCATCAGACAATTCTTTCCCAGGCGGAAGTGTTTTGTCTTTGACTGGCCAGTGAGGGACCCACAACTTCTAGCCATGCTTGAGAGTATACCGGAAAGCCAACTGAATCCTAAATTCCAGAAGCAATCAAAGGCTTTCTGTGCTCATATCTACACCCATGCAAGTGCCAAGAAACTGAGAGACGGAATCCTGGTCACTGGGCCCCGTGAGTCACTTTTGCAAGGCTCCTACTGTCTTCATGGGTTAGCACAGGGTGAAGTCTGGATTCTTTGCTCTGATTGTGAATAATTTTATTTGCTGTATAGGAATGTAGGAATGCAGAAGTTCCTGTCATACGTGGAAATTTGTATTTCCTTATTAACATTTCTCTATTTAGGAAAGAAAGAAACTTGCATAGTGGTAAGTCATATAAGATAATGGTTTCTCAAGAGAGACATAAGTCATGTTTAAGCTGGATGTTTGGCACACAGCTATAATCTGGGCCATATATGACGCTGTGGTAGTGGCAACTGAGGCAGATTAGTAAATTGTCACAAAGTAATAAACAGACATAGAAAGGTAGAGCAGAGCTCAGAAGAGCAGCAAATGGTTACAGTGGGCAAGACCCTGGCTCAGTCCCCAGAGCCAGAAAAATAAGTAACAGGTCACCTGTGTGTAAATTAGCAAATAGACATAGAGCAGGGTTGGGGTCAGAGTTCAGAGGAAGGGCGCTCGCCCAGCATGTAAGTTAGGCCAATAATTTAATGCTCAGAATCACAAAAGCATAATCATGAATAAATAGATAAATTGATAGATACAAAACAGAGCTGTGCGTGTCATATCGGGTTGTAGGTTCAATCCCCAGTAGCACAGTCCTTCACTTCACGCAACCAAAGATTTTAGTTAATTTACGAGAATAATAGAAACAGCAAGCCATGAGTGCTGTGCATGGTTAATGAATGAGGAGAAACCATTTGAATGTAACCTTCTGTACGGAGCTGGCTTTGTGGACATGGGACCTCTGCAGTAGCCTGCGCTAACCTCTGTCGCACAGCCTTGAAACCCCTGACCTTCTTGGACAATGGCTCTACATTACTGTTAGCAAATGGAGCTCAGAAAATAAAGCATTTATTAGTGTAAGAGGCACTCCGTTCGTTTTGATGGGACAGTGTTCTAGGAATTCTTTGAACACACTGCTTTAGACATGGATTTAATTTTTGCGGTCTGGTGAAGAATAATGAAACAAAATGACTAGGAAAAACAGTTGTGATTTTTACATGAAAATGGGTTCATAAAAGTGGGAAGAAGATAGGGACAAGGAGGACAATGAGGGGGGAGGGGAGAGAAGTTTGTTTTCAGTGTGATGGGGTTTTTGAGAATATAGGCCACCACATCGTGTAAAATAGGGAGTGAAAAATTTCCAGTGTGTCCTAAACATGATGTCTGATTAGGACTGGGGACTCTGGTGCAGACCTACGTGGACGCCATCAACAGCGGGGCAGTACCTTGCTTGGAGAATGCAGTGAGGACCCTGGCTGAGCGTGAGAACTCCATAGCTGTGCAGAAGGCAGCTGACCACTACAGTGAGCAGATGGCCCAGCGAGTGAGGCTCCCCACGGACACGCTCCGGGAGCTGCTGAATGTGCACACAGCCTGCGAGAAGGAAGCCATCGCTGTCTTCATGGAGCACTCCTTCAAGGACGACCAGTGGACCTTCCAGAAGAAGCTTGTGGTGATATACCTTATCCTAATTGCTGCTGATGCCTGCTCTTCTGCCATATGACTCTGACTGCATTTTGATTCTAAGTAGCATCCTTCTTATCGTGGAAGGTGCCCGGGTTCTTATGGGTAATGGGTTCTTTAGCACAATTCTACCCTTTTCTCTGTTAGATGCTTTTTGTTTTCAATAATTCTTTAAAAACTGTGTGTGTTGCTATTGTGTGTCTTGGTACCATAGGTAGGCAGTGCCCATGAAGGCTAGAAGGGTGCATTGGATCTCTTGTATGTGGAATTAAAGCTGGTTGTGAGCTGCCATGTGGGTGCTGGGGACTTGGTCTGTTGGAAGAGCAGTCACTGCCCTTGACTACTGAGCCATCTCTCTAGCCCAACTTCATGTTCATTGTTCTAGAATAAGTTGGGATGTGCTTTGGGTCTTTAATAACATATATTTGTAAGTCGCAGTTCCTCAAGTCAGGTATAGCACTGGGTGTAACGTGCCTCTGCTCAGTGCATCCCAACCTTAAATCCTGCCTCTTGTCTAGAGGCCCTGACAATCTCCTCTGTCTTTAGCGTGCCATCTGGCATTCTGTCCTTTCCTTGTTTCTCATCTCCGTGGTTTTCCTTGTCTGTAATCAACTGTAGAAAAGTGATGTTGGGAGGTTCCTATGGCTAAGTAACCATCTTTTTTTTTTTTTTTTTTTACCATCTGACAAAGTTTAAACATGAAAAACATGTAAAATATTTACTTCTTCATCAGTTTTCCAGACAGTGATATGATATCTGTCTGTCTCAGAGCTGACCAGTTGTGATTTCTCTATAATGTCACTATAACCTAATGTGTTCACGTCTGTTTCAGGGAGTCAACACACTGAAGCTCTGTAGGTTATGACTGTCCTCCTTGGTCAGTAAGCCCCATTTATGGAAGTCAGTCTGGGCTGTAAGATGATATTGTCACAGGGTTAATATGCATCTTATTCTAGAGTGATGCATGATGTAGATGCTGAGTGAGGAAGCTTCTGTGGGAGCAGCATGATGATCAGAGATGCAGCACCAGAGTGATGACCAAGGATGCCATCATAGTCCATAGCAAGCGAAACAGCTAAATTGTAATTCATGTATATAAATTGTAATAATGTATATATGGATGTGAACTTTAAAACAGTGAGGTCACCTGACTTCACACCCACCACTCTCACTAAAAGAATTCATGAAGCGCTGAATTCTATGCTTACCGGACACCCACTCAGAACTGAGAGGTGGATTTAACGTGCAGATATTTTCACACACACACACACACACACACACACACACACACACACACACACACCCAAGGCACATTTTCCAAAGAAGCTGTGTCCAGGATAATTGTATTTTGAACTCATTATGGATGCACAGAAGACTGCATCTTAGTGAGCCAACAGCAACAGAGTCCACTGCCACTAAACCCTCTTGTGTGCTATGAACCTGAGTCCAAGGAAATAACAGGTTTCCACGCAGAGTTCTTTCTTGTTTTCTAGAATAACTCACACAGATTTCTTCCTTGCTTTCAAAAGTTCTTCCTCACTTTCCAGAACTCAGATATAGTATTTTTCCTTGTCTCTCATCTCTCTGGTTTACCTTATCTACAATCAGTTATAGAAAACTGATCTTAAAGGACCACTGTAATTAAATAAGCTCCATGCCTTCAAGTCAGGAAGAGTTTACGAGACAATGAGTATATGGCACTGATGTTATGTAATGGCACTGATTCTCAACCTGTGTGGTAAGACACCGTCGGGGGGTAAACAGCCCTTTCACAGGGGTTGCCTATCACATATCTGCACATCAGATATTCATATTACTATTCATAACAGTAGCAAAATTGCAGTTATGAAGGAGCAACAAAAAATAACTCTATGGTTAAGGGTCACCACAGCATAAGAAACTGTATTAAAGGATCACAGTATTACGAGGATGGGAACCATTGTTTTGGGGGATGCTATGGTACACAGACACCAAAGAAAAGAACTCTAGTGTCTTCCTCTTAATTCTAATGAGAGGTAATGTCACTGAAAGTCTGTCTTTCAGTCTTTGTATCACCATCTTACAAGTGAAAAAATGCATTATTTCATACTGAAGAAAAGTGTCCATTTGTAGCTTACAAGTATCCACTTTAACATTTTCATCCTCTAACTTCACACCCTTCACTCTCTTTGAAGGACCCATGAGGCACTCACCACTCTATCCATGATGAAGCATCTCAGAACTGACAGGTGGATTTGTGTGCAGATATTCTCACCCACACCAAACACGTTCCCCGAGGAAGCTGTACCCCCTCCTGGTTGACCTTTGTACTCATTATTGATCTGTGGGAACTCGTTCATCCTAGAGACTGGAAGAATTTGGATTTCATGCCCACTCTCACCTCACTTTCGTAGCTATTGAGCTTGAGGCCAAGAGAGTTAGAAGTCACTCATAGTTGACCACAGCAGCGATAAAGGATGTCCCCTGATCCTCTTCCTGTCCCAGTCCACTCTGGGGCTGTCACAGGGGATCAAGCAGGATGATCACAATGGCACCTTCCTTCTAACAGCCTACTTGTCTTGTCTTCCCCTACTCACCCGGCAGGCCACCATAGAGGAAAGGAAGAAAGCTTTTATGCAACAGAACGAAGCAGCGTCTCTCAGTCACTGCCAGGCTGAGCTGGAGAAGCTTTCAAAGACCCTGATGGAGAGCATCTCTCGTGGAGCCTTCTCTGTTCCCGGGGGACACAGCCTCTACTTAGAAGCCAGGAAGAAGGTTGAGCGGGACTACCAGCGGGTGCCCAGGAAGGGAGTGAAGGTGAGGAATGAGGGCAGGTATGGTCATGCCGCTAGAGCACAGCTACAGCCGTAACTGCTGCTCCCAGAATCTCAGAGCACAGGGCCCTCCATGGAGAGAAATCAGAGCATCTTGTATTATGGCTGTTCTAGTCTTTAGATCCACAAAATACTGCATCATATGAAATGATTTCTAGATGTTTGTTTCCTCAAGAGGTAGATAAATCCAAATGGAAGAGCAGGTTAGTTTGTTGGATAATCTGTTAATTTTTGATCAGAGTATATATGTTATTATATGACAGGGAACTTCTATTCTCAGGAAGCTCCTGATCTTAGAAGGCATGGGCAAATAGAGTGTGTTTGCTAAGCAGGGACTAGTTATCAGACTTCAAGAGACAGAGGTCGAGTGGAGATGGAGATGATGATGATGATGATGATGATGATGATGATGATGATGATGATGATGATGGTAACATTGTGGGCTCATTCCTAACCTGAGTGTTATTTTCTTCATTGAAATATCAGTTTAATACTTTGGACAGAATGAATTAGTTCTTAATGGCATCTCCACTGGACAGTTGAGGAATGAGATGAACAGATTTTGGAAAGAAGCAGGACAGCTTCATTCAGAGTGAAGCAACCATACAGATAAGAAAGAATCGCCCCAAGTACGATGCTGGGTGATGCTGACTGGACCTGCAAGAAGCCAGGCATAGTTCCTACCATCACTGTTTGAGTTGCTATCTACTCTGAAGGGTAGATTGAGGCATACATTGAATTTCCCAAATGCCCTTTCTCACACAGGAGTGCATCTGATTTTAATCATATGCATGCTTCACTGTGCATAGGCATAAAATGCCAAGCTATGGGTATTCTTCATGAAAATTCACTTGAAGAACAAAGTTTGCCTGACAGCACTGTGCATGCCCTGAAATCAACTTAAGGCCAGACCATTTCTATTCTATGGGATGCCTACCTGGGCAATAGACTTGCATAGAACCTGTCATGACTTGGTTGATCTAGGGTGAAGATACTTACAGTCTTATTCAGAGTGGAGTCTACATATAGCCAGTGCAGGAGTGCAACAGGAGGGTCTGAGGAGCTAGGTGCCTTGTTTGAAGAGGGGTATGTGTGAATAGTGTACACAGGGAAAGGAATCAGGCTGGCTGGTGCACCATTACTAGAGGGGGGATGTACACCCTAACCCAAATGAGGTCACAGACTCCTAATCTATACCTGAGGCCTGCTTGCTTCCTATGTGTTTATGGAATTGCACACATATCTGCATGGGGCTCTTACCTGGAGTGATTAGTGGGTGACATTCCTGGGAAAAGAGGCTGCAGAGCTAGCAAGAGGTGGTTAAATCTCAGCAAAGGGCATAGGTTTTGCTCCAGCCACAGAATTAAAGGACTCACGTGGGAACTAAGGCAGGATTCAAATATTGCAGTTAAGGTAGTAGTTTCACTGAACGCTAACCCTTCTTTAGAAGAATCCACCCTTGCTGCTTAAGGCTTTCTCTCTTTTGGTATCCAGGCAAGTGAGGTCTTCCAGAACTTCCTGAAGTCACAGCTCATGATGGAAGAGTCCATCCTGCAGTCAGATAAAGCCCTCACGGATGAACAGAAAGCCAGGGCAGGTACAGAGGAGGGCTCAGCTGTCAAAGTGTCCCTGTAAAGCCCTTGACTGGTGGATAGGAAGATCCCTAAACAAAGAGGCCCCCCCCCGCACCCTCTTCTAGATCTGAAAACCATGATTGGGGCTGGTGCTGCATGTCCAGCCAGTCAGTGCATTTCTATCACTCATGGAATCAATGCCTGCTGATGGAAAGTTGCAGACAGTCCTTATGTGGAAATCAGCTTGGTCTCTGAGATCAGAAGGGTAGCTCTCAGCTCTGACTCTCCTCTCTTTCTTCTCTAAAACCTTTGTGGGACAGAGGAGAGGGCCAAGAAGGAAGCGGCTGAGAGGGAGACGAAGCTAATGATGCAGAAACAGAAGGAGCACAAGGAGGCAATGGATGCGCACATCAGAAGCCGGTCAGAAAACATTTCCCAGCTGGAGAACAAGATGCAGAGGGAAAAGGACAAGTATCTGAGAGAGCAGGAGAGGGTGCTGGATCACAAGATGAAGGTGAGGATGGCAGGGGTGGCTACGTGATAGACCGCAGCTTTTCCAACAAGAAAGAAAAGTTTGACACTGTCAAGAAAATCATGATCTTAGAGTGAACCTCAATGATCATGAAAAACCTCATCTCTACCTTGATCCCAGTGAAGCCCTTAAGTCTAAGACACATCACTTTCTGTAGTGTTAGTAAACTAAAGAATGTTGGAGTGAAAAAATAATCCCCTGGAGCTGCTCTGTATGCTTTAGAGCAGTCTCATTTTACTCTACCTGAAAAAGATCTCAGCCTGCTACTCCAAGGATTCTTGGCACAACAATCAAGGCTATTCAGTGATCAAATTAGTCAGGATAGGAATCCGAAGCTCTGAGCCCTGCCGCATGTGTCCAGAGCCGGCTGCAGAATTAGAGTACATTGCAGTCTCTCTGCCAACACAGAGCTTAACAGCTCTGCTCTCAGAGGCCGCAGCTGGTAACCACCATTTGTTAGACAAATGGGGTCAGCTTAGCGCAAAGACACTGAGATTCAATGAGAGTTAGACCCCTGGCCCTCCCAGAGGGCATTGTGCTTTACTCCATAACTTCAGGGCCGTGAACTCCCCTTCCTCCCGGAGAGAGAATCATCAACAAACCTCAGCCATAGTGTGGCTATGCTCACTCTTGAGGTACAGCGTGAGGTTTTGGAAAAAGTTGTCAAATACTCTTTTTTATAAATGGAGGGAACATGTATACATACTCTCAGCTGCTAAAGCTGTTAGGGTGAGTTAAAAGTAATGTATATTCTTGAAAAAATGGACTCTCTGTTTTTGTTAGGCCTTAAGAGAACTACTTCTTGAAGGAGTTGAGGAGAAATTCGACGATTTAAGAAGAGAAATAAAGCTAATGGAGGAAGAGATTGAAGCCATGAAAAGCAGCCCGCCTCAAAATATTCTTGATATCGTTGGTAATATATTCGGTGAATCACTTCCAATGCTGTTTAAAAAAGGGTGGCAGATACTCAGCAATTTTATAGCAGGCAAAGACCCCAGTCAAACACAGTACTAAGGCCTCCTGTGTGATTGCAACACAGTTATATATACCTTCGTAGTGCTTATATTACCATGGATCCATTCAATAGCAGTTTCAAATTAAGAATGATCAAAGGACGTCAGAGACCAACAGGTCCTCCACCAAAAAAGTAGAAAGTCAATTATAATTTTATTATGTCAGTAGAAATTCTTCATGAAAATGATTTAGCTAAGGTACAAAGTCAAATAGTCCACCCATTATATCAAATAGTCTCCCCAACATTAGTGCCTAAACACGATCTGGACCAATACAACAAGTAATATGCCAAAGTGAATAGGAAAAAAGCCTTTGAGATCTGTACTTGACAGATAACTAAGGAAAGCTGCGAGCAGGAGAAATAGTCTTCCCCAGGGAAGAGCACACCAACTGACTGTCCAGCAGCACATGGTCAGCCCTGAAAACATACACACAGGTTACAGTCGTGTACAGACTGAGCACCTTATGTTTAAGAATATATATATATGTATTTGCATATGCATTTACGTAGGCTGTAACAATTAATAAAAAAGGGCCATCAATTTGAAAGGGACCACTGTGGGGTTTATTGGGAGGGTTTGGAGGTATGAAAGGAAAGGGAGAAAAGTTGTAACTGTAGTTTCAATAATTAAAACAGTTAAAAAAAGGTAAATGTTTGCAGCGCCTAATTCAGTTCTGTGCGTTATTTATCATAAGCATTTGTGAGAAAAGACTACCAACCATATTTTTAATGGGCATAAATGTGAAAAATGTATGTTTTGGTTATATAAAATCCTGTAAAGTATAATGAAGAGGCTCATATTTTATTTGTATTTTGAGCAAGAAAGAAGCAAGCATTTGGCACAACCGGAGTTGGGTAGAACTCAATGTTGACAGTGTCTCATATTTGGTGGTGAGGAGGGATGTGTTGGAACTCTTGATCAAAATTTAGCATGCATGTAGTTCTAACCTGGATGATCCATATCTAGGAATTTCTCACATCATTTCATTTATCCAAGCGAAAATGACATCTGTAGTGATAGGTGTGCCACAGGATTATTGTCTTGTCAAAAGCCTGGGACAACTTTCATACTCCTCTGTTGGCTCTTGATGAACGTGAACGAAGAGGGATGGTCTACATCAAGCCAAACCAGTGGGGACCACTCTTCATACCGACAGGGAAATCATTCAGGAGTGACCGTAGCTGAAGAACGATACACAGACTGCGTAAGAGCTGCACTGACTTAAGAAACTAGTGAGGTTTTGGCTGTATCATTATCAATGTCTAGTCAAATGCAAAGTAAACTTGTATTCATGACTACCGCAGGGGTGGACATGGGTATCTTAGGTAGGCTAGAAAAGGACTACTAACTTTACGTAGCTGTTCTTTGAGTCTTTCACTTCCCATGAATTTATCATCCATTCAAATATTTCTTCAAAATGACAGACATCAAGAATGCAGACACATGGAATGAGAGCATTCATGCCAGGATGGAAGTCTTTAAAATGACTAGAAACAGCTTGAGTTAGCCCATCAGGAGGCAGAAGGTTTGTGGCGTGCCTCTCATTTTATTCTCTTTCAGGCCTCTACTTTGACTTGAAATTCTAATTCCCATCCTACTGCACAATATATGGCACCCTGTGATACTGGCTACAATGACCTTTAAATTCACCCCCACACCATTTATAAAGATGATAGAGCAAGAGACATTGTTTTCTTTCGTGTCAACTCAATACATTAAGAATTGTTTTCCAGATATATAGTGCTTAAGACTGTTATGGGAGAATGACAGTCAAATAATTTCCACTCTTGGAAGTGTTCTCTTGCCTGTGAGCTTTTGCAGGCATCAGCACACGCGCGCGCGCACACACACACAAACACACACACACACACACACACACACACACACACACACACACACACACTTTTATCACACACCTTTGACCGACCCAGGTTTCCACCCCATGTCCTTTATTTGTGAGTTTGCTTTTCCATCTCCTAATTTCCAGAGATAAAATGAGGTGGTCTTCCTCTCTGCTGCCATTGTGACAGAGTGTCACAGTTAATGTCTATCTATTTCTATAACTTTGAAAACCATAACCCCTGTGTCCAATTTTTTCCCTGCTCTTCCTTGGTTTCAAGTGTTGGTCGTAGTTATCATCACATCTTTGTGTATGAATGTGTGGGTGCAAGTGTGGGTGTGGTCCACGTGAGGGTGTACATGTGGGCGTTGGGGAGAGTGGGGGTGCTTGAGGGGGTAGTGGTGGTATGTTTGTGTTCCTATGATACTGTGTATGTGTGTGTGTGCGTCATGGCGAACTTTTGGAGGTTATAAAGCTGTGGGTTCCAGTCTTTGCCTTTCACCTTGATTAAAACAGGATCTTGTTTGGGGGCTGCATGTACTGAGTAGCTGACCTGTGAGCTTCTAGGGCTCTGTCTCTGCCTTCCAACTTGCTGATGAAACATGGGAATCACAGGCATGTTCTCCTGAGACTGATTTACAGGGGTCGTGGGATCTAAGGCAGGGTTCTCAAGCTTGCAAATGTAAGCAAGGTGTACTGAAACCACCAAACTAGACCACTCCATGGGTAGAAAGAAGAGATTATTGGATAAACTGTCCAGCTGCCTCAGAGAATAGAGAACAGCTTGGTGGGAAAAGTCTTGTCAGGCCTTTTTTTTTCTTTTTTAATCCACCTTACATCCCAATCCTAACCCCCTCCCTCCTCTCCTCCCAGTCTCACTCTCTCTCTCTCTCCCTCAACCCCTCTCCCCTATTCCTGAGATAAGGAGAGCCCCTCTGCACACAGCTCAGATGATTGAGTCACCTCAGGACTGAGTGTATTCTCTTCCCTGTGGCCTGGAGAGGCAGCTCCATGGAGTATGATAGGGGGTGATCCGAAAGCAGGCAACAGAGCCCATGTCAGAGACAGGTCCGGTTCCCCTTACTAAGAAACCCCCATGAAGTCTGAGCCGCCCATCTGCTACATCTGTGTAAGGAGTCTAACTCCAGCTATGCATGGTCGTTGGTTGGTGCTCCAATTTCCACGAGCCCTCTGGGCCCTCGTTACTTGACTCTATTGGTCTTCTTATGGAGCTCCTGGCACCCTCAGGTTCTTCTATCCTTGTCCCACTTTTCCTCAAGACTCCCTGCACTTCAACCCAATATTTGTCTGCAAGTCTCAATGTCTGTTTTGATCTGCTGTTGGGTGAAGCCTCACCTAGATATGTTAGGACAGATATGCTAGGCTCCTGTCTTGTTATCTTTCTTCAGCCACTCCACTGTATTCTATATCCTCTTCTGAGTGAGAGTGGCTCCTTCTTACTACTTACCTTCTTTGGGTCTGTCTATCCTGTCAGTTTTAGCAGGGCAGGTAGTTGCAGGAGGTGGTATTTGGGGTCAGAAGAACTAGAGACACAATGCTGTTGGGGGTGGAGAAGAGAAGTAGTTATTGTCCTCACAAACAGAAACTCTTGTTCTATGTGTGAGTCACAGTCCTTTTAGGGATCAACCAATATTTCACAGGATCACCTAAGATCATTTGAATATCAAATATTTCCATTATAATCCATAATAGTTGCAAAATTACGGTTTTGAAGTAGCAACAAAAATAATTTTACGTTTGGGGATCACCACAACACAAGGAACTGTATTAGAGGATCATAGCATCAGAAATGTTGAGAATTACTGTCTTAGAGAATTCTGGGGAATGCCTAGTTTAGGTCTCTCCTCATCTGATAACAACTCTTCTCTCCACCTGGTAAGAATCTGGCATGGTTTGGGCCCATGCATCGTCTTAGAACATTGTAAGCAGCACTGGCATTTTTAGAGCTTGCTTTGCTTTCCAGCCATATGTAGATAAGGATGACAGTAGTCCTCTGGCTACACCCAGCTGAGTAGGGACTGGATGGGAGGGGGAAAGAGGAGTTGTCTTCAATACTTGTCCAAAGCAGGGGCCCAAGCCTGCAGGCAATGGTAGGAAGCCTGAGAAAAGTCCATCAGAAGCATCTCTTTTACTGACTATTAGGTTATTTCATTAATTTTCCCCTGAAAGAACTTGAACAGACAAGGAGCAGTCATTATACAAACAGTATGTTGTGAAGAGCCTGAACATAAAAGACTCAATTTGTCACTGCCCTCCACCTAATATGTGACCTAAAATTACCCCGGCTTCAGAAAAAAAACAAAAAACAAAAAACCGTGTTTATACTTATAGGAAACCTTATCATTTCTGAGAATGGCCACAAAATGTGCCAACCCTGAAACCAGCCAGAACGGTCAAAACGACCTTTGTCCTCGTGGCTACTGAAACAGTTACGCGTTGTCATTAGGGTAACTAAAACAGTTATTCCAGATGGTTACAGCTTGTCTCTAACCAATCACTATGTAACAAGCTCGCTCTTGCAAAATGTCACCCAGTCATGTGACTGCCAAGTCTGGAAGTCCCTTCCCCTTGCTAAAAACCCTATAAAACCTATCTTCTTTCTAGGCTCAGGGCTCCTAGCCTCTGACTGCTGTGACAGCTCATGCTGAGAGTCCAAGCTTAAGCCTGAATAAAGGCTCTTTGCTTTTGCATACAATTTCCGACTCTTAGTCTTGTTGGTGGTCTTTTGGGGTCTTGTGGACTTGGCACAACAGTTGCAGCCTGCTACTTGAGACAAAGCTGCAGCCATCTTTGTATTTAGTTTCCGTTTTGTTTCTAAGGTGAAATTAAGTTCAACATCTTAAACTTTTGAACTCTGCTTCCTGGAAGCGGTTGTTCATAGCTGGCACTAGCAGACTCTGCCAGAGGGTCGAGCTGACCTTATATTTTACTATGGTTCAATAGTGTTATAACTCGTGCTTTATTATTATCTATTCACTTGGCTACACTCTGGTTGCACCCTTCTTTTCTACACACCTTGCTACACTTTGGATGTGCTCCAGAAGACCCTAAGCCCTGCCTCACTCACCTCACTTAGGAGTAATCAATTTAAAGGTTAGCTGATAGCACTTTGCGTAGTTAGCCAAACTGTGTTCCTCCCCTGCCCCACGTCTATTGCATTTGGTTCTTTGTCTAAAAAGCTATGAGAACCTGCAGATGTCACAGTTAGGCTCCGAGTTCCTTTCTGTTTCCCTGGTCTGACCAGTCTTTGGGTGTTGCATTCACTATTCAGTAAACCATCCATATCTAACTGAGACATGAGTCTGAGCGGTTTGTGAAGCTATTCTTAACTAGAACAAGTATGGGTATCAGTGGGAGGAAGGAGAGCATCCTCAGAGATGCGCACTAGACAGAAGAGCTTGAGTTTTAGAGGTCATGCTCACCCACAGGTGAACTTGTCAGACCAGGGGTCCAGAGCTTGTCTGAGTTGTGACAGATGGATCCATGTCTCAACTCTGTGAAGTTTAGTTACAGTTGGTATGTAAGGATGACCCAATGTGGACTCATCCAGTGTGGGCCAAGGGCTTATGAGCGAAAGCCTTTAGAATACTTAATCTCTTGGATAAATGGTGTGGGTAATAGGAGCTGTAGAGTGTGGAGGAAGGACACAATTTTTATGTTTTGGAAGAAGATGTCTGTCAGAAGAAAATGAGGAAAGGTAAGTAGTCACAGAGTTAGGTTTGATCCAGGCCAGGTAAATATCCCAACAGAATAGGTAAATATCCCATGCATTAACTGAAAGGAGCTAAGGAAGGAGGGGGCTCAGAGCATGACCCAGATGCAAGTTATGGTGAGAAGTAGGAGGTAAGGGGAGTTCAGAAACATGAGTCTTAATAAGTCCATTAGCCCTTCCTACATTTTCTAGGGACGGGGTGTGGTAGAGAA